ATTGGCTATCAAAGTAGATGGAGGCCAGGCCAATAGCAACTGCAGGCTGCAGCCCTGACAGCTGTTTTGTGGCCTCTGTGAAATGAGGGGATGGTGTTCAGTTCATCCAGTTTCTGGACAGCTGTCTTCCTCACAAAAAGCACTGCCACAGTTGGCATTCATTGGCTCCCTGGATGGGAGCCTCCACAGGCAATTCACGGAATCTTTTTTTTTTCCCCCTTCCTTTTTCTCCTTTCTGCCATCTTATCTCCCTTTTCCTCTTCTTGTTGGCTTTTCCTTTCCTTCTTTTTCCCTTTTTCTCCTCTGTCTTACCAGTAGGTGGCCTGGGGGGAAAAAAAAAAAAGAGCAGCAACAGTTCCTGAGGGAAGATTGCATTAACACCTCAGAGTGTGTCCCTCCAGGGCCTGCAGGGGACCCAGGGAGGGCCCCTTGGGATAGAAAGCACACACCTTCCCTGCCTGGAGGCCTGAAGTTGTTTTGCTTAAGGTGCCTCAGAGTTTACCCTGGGATTGTGTATTTTATCCACTGAGCTTCTCCTTTCATCACAAGGCAGAGAGCACGGCTGCAGTTTGTAGAATGAATGGGCCCACAGGGAATTTTGAGTGATTCAGTAGTCCTGGTGTAAATCCTTCATCCTAACTCCCTCTCCAGCACCACCAGGAGCAAGAAGCAGAAGGCTGTATAGTTTGTGACTCCTTTCTCTGATAAAAGCTGCACTACTTTGGGGGGATTATGCATGTTAACCGTATTCCCAAATCCAAAATCAGCACATCTTTCCTTTCCAGACGTTTTTGGATTTATAATGGTATTCATTTGACACATTTTTAATAAAATAAAAATGAAACCCCTTTTTCTATTATGCATCTGACAAATCACTTAAATTAGAAAAGGTAAAATTCTGTGAAAACAAGGATAGCCTGAAAGTCTACAGTATGAACTGTTAACGTCATAGAGTGATCTGGATGCTCTTTTGCTCTTTTGGATATGAATAAGGAAATAGGAGTGGTAGCTGCCATGCTCCAGATTTCCAAGTCTGCTATCAGGTTATGCAACTTGGTTTTCTCAATCTCAATTTAAGAGTCAAGAAGTGAACTAAAGGAAGACTTGTCACTCATATACTTGTCATTTTTCAAACCAGAAGGAGGCAATGATAGGACATGATGCTCTCTTACTATAGAAAGAGAAAAAAAAAGTTCAATAATTTTTCAGTGGTTCTGCACTAATTAAAAAACCCAATGTGTTTTGTCTAGACTGCCTCTCTTTGGAATTTAAAACCTGTTTGCAACATTGTACAGGGAATTTCAACCAACATGCCACACATTGGTTTGCATTTAACTCATTACATTGTTGATTGCTGAGAACACTTACATGACCTAGAAGTTGTCCAAACCTTTTAAAAGATCATACAGACTCTAAATCAGGAGCTCGAGTTGGGGTTAAATATTAAACAGATGTGAAATCCCAGCTATCCTTTGCAATTTAGAAGACAAAATTACAAATAAACCACTTTTGGCAAAAATTTTATTCTTAGAGTAATGACTAGGACTCATAAAATAGTTATTAAGGAAAAAAGTGAAATTTAGAGTTAGGGAAAATATCCCAACACTAGCTCTGACTCTACAACCTTGGTGATCCACTTTCTCTCATCTGTATGTTGGGGAAAATCATACTCTGTCACCTTATGGTTATTTTGTTACTTACTGAGTATAAATTAATTGAAGATCAATGTGTTCTAACATATAATAACATAATATATATATTATTAATAATTAGAACAAGCAACTGTGAACCATACATAAAAAGAGAAAATAGTTTTGGAGAAATGTAATTTCTAGGATGGACACACAGATAGTCTATCTACTAGAGGAATGGTTTTCAGTTTTATGATTCATTTATCCGTTCATTTAGAAAAATGATAGAAGAAATCTGAAAAATGACATGACTAAATTGGGGATGTGCCTATTTGTAATCTTTTTTTTTTTTTTTTAATTCTCCTCAAAGGCTTCTGACAAAAAAAAAAGTAAAAACAAACAAAAAGCCCCCAACAGAGTCATAATTCTGATTTCTAACCATTTATAGTCTGGATGTGCTTTGAACTTTGCATTTAAAAAGACAGCATTGTCTGATGTTCTACCATTCCCTCTCCTTAGCTTGTCATTTCCAAACATACTTCCCTGCTTGAGAGCAAATGGCAAACAAGAGAGAATTGGTTTATAGCTGCCAAAGTCTCTACCTCATAGGAGTGCTGGTTTCATTCAAACAGGGTGAAATGAATGTCTGAGAAGGGGTGAGATTTTAAGGCTTGGGCAGTGAGTGGAAGCGTCATTTCCTGAGTCCACAGCTTCTTCTGTCATTGTTGGCGGAGACTTTGTCTGGTACTTTAGCTTTCCCATCTACACTAGTTAAAATACTATGTTGTCACCTCCCTCTCTTCGTCTGTTCTTTTCTCCCATAAGGACATGGAGAAGTATGAGAAGGTGAATGGAGTAAATTTACATTATATAATATATATATATATATATGAATAATACTATTTTGCTAACAATGAATACTAGTCATAGGGAAAATAGGATTTTTCTATCTGGTTTATATTCATTTTTCTAAGCTCTGAAGTCTTCTCTAAATATTTAGTCCATGGGATACAAATTCAAAACTCATCATGGGCCAAACTGATGATAAAAATGAAGGAATTAGGTTGTAGAGAGTGCTGAGGGCTGTGTCATTGGGGAGGGCAAAGGCACAAGGCCACCACACTTTACAATTCCACAGCAGCCCCCCATCCCATTCGCATTGTATTGTATGTGAATGGTGCCCCCTAGCGTGGAGCAGTGCAGAAGCCCTCTACATGCTCCATCCATTCATTCATTCAGAACATCCTCATTAAGCTTACTGTGTGCCAAGCATGGCTCCAAGTGCTGGGGATAGAGTAGTAAACAAAGTGGATAAGAATCCCTAGCCTTACAGATCCTAAAGGCATTCTCCTTTGATTACTTTTTTTTTTTTTAAGGCAAAAAAGCCCCCTGCCAACAAAACAAAAGCATTCATATGTAGAATTTAGTCCATGGGCCCACCAATTAATGACCCCTGCTCTAGGTTTTCAAATTATTTCTGTAATCATGCAGGTTTTAGCCACATGGACAAAATACAGCAATATGCTGAGGCTTGCACCCACTGCTTAGCTTATGCTTAACGAGAGCTCTGTGTACCTAGAAAACTCAGCTCATTAATTTTCAATTAAAAGTTTGCACCCCACCCCTGTATTTGCACTTGCCACTCCTTCTTCCAAGAAAACACAATTCCTCGAAGTGATCTGTTAGGTAAGAAAGGAAGGAAAGCTAGAGTGAGATGTGGGTCATGGCATTCTGCTGAAGCATTGCCTAGATACCTGTCCTAAGACTAAGGGAAGAGGCCAGCCACTGAGCAATGGTCACTATGGCAACTTGAATCATTTCAAAGTCTGCTCCCGATCACCTATAAATTTAGGGTTTTTTCCCCCAAACAAAAAGGAAGATTCCCTAAAGTGTCAGGTCTCTTAGGGGTTATGCTAACAGAAGCACATGAAGTACTGAATTTAAAGAGCTCTCTTATAAATAATTAATTTCTCAGCTTTATGGCATCTTAATGCCATTAAATGGAAAGTTTTAATTTTATCTACATAGAAGCAAGATGAAGCTAAAAGAATATTTAGTCACCATGTCTGAAGGAATTTTTTTTTTTTTTTTGCATTGGAAGCTTGAGTAAAACTGAAAAGAAAACTTGTATTAAATTTCTGCAAGAAGCTTTAGAGAAATATTGTGATGGTAAAAGTTTTCCACCTCACAGCTCACTTTGCATTTTCTTAAATAAGAGCACGACTCAAAAATATTTAAAGGACATAGGTTACAAATCTGATGAAGAAATAAAGTCATGGTATAAAGATCACATATAAACATTCACATCTTCCAAGAAGTACAGCAACAACCACCTGTAATTACTCTTCCTCTTTTCTACCTGCCTTCCAGGATCCTTTCTTTCCCAAACCCCTCATAAATTAATGATAATGATGATCAGAAGTGAGAGTGTTACCATATCAATCTACATGCTATATTAAATTACTTTTCCCAAAGTTTGGAAAGCATTTCCTGAAAGCTGTCAAAGGTATTAATTTCTCTCTTTCTCTCTTTCTCGCTCTTTAAATCACAAAGCAAAATTCCACTGTCTCTCCCCAACCCCTCCTAAAAAAAAAAAAGTTGTTGAGTTTTGCTTTTCTATTCACTGTAGTCCTGGCCAAAGTAAAGCCCTCTTTCTCAATGACGTCAAGATCTTTACCAAGATTAGGCTTTCATTTCTCTATTGCAGCAATTAGCCAGGGAACGTATAAAAGGCTTCAGGGAGACTCACTGGCTGCAGAGAGAGGCACTTTGCACCACAGATAGCAAGAAGGAAAAGCCAGAGGTAGTGAGGAAAAAAAGGAGTCAGCCGCTCCTGGAGGAGGGAGAGACAGACAGACTGGGAGAAGCAGCACAGAAAGTGTGTGTAAAACGGAGTAAAGAAAGAAAAAAAAAAAAAAAAAAAACTACCCTTAAAGCACACTTTAAAAACTCTGGCAATTCAAGAAAGAAACAGGCTACGTTTAAAGAACACAGAGACAATGAAAAGCTAAAGAAAAATTTTGCAATCTCTGCCACGGTCTCATAGGTGCTTGGAAATGAAAGTAGAACTGCCTGTCTTTAACGGACTCTGACAGGGGTAACTGGATTAGGGACGGGTACGCCAGCTTTTTTTTTTTTTTTTTTTTTAAACATCTTAAAATCCTGAAAAAAAAAAAAAGGCAGCAGCTCCGAATTGAATGAATTGATGGGCACACTCCAACTGCTGGGCTGGAGAGACTGGACTTGGTCTTGCCATTTCTGCTTCTTTGAAAAAGGAGACAACTTGGGCTTCCTTTTAATTTAGTTTTTCTCCTTCTCCCCCCACCCCCCAACCTTCCCCCTTACCTCCCCCACCCCCTTTTAAATAAGAGGGTGAAGGGGAACCAGAGCGCACAAGGGAACTGACTCAGGAGGCAGAGAAGATGGGCATCCTCAGCGTAGACTTGCTGATCACACTGCAAATTCTGCCAGTTTTTTTCTCCAACTGCCTCTTCCTGGCGCTCTATGACTCGGTCATTCTGCTCAAGCACGTGGTGCTGCTGTTGAGCCGCTCCAAGTCCACTCGTGGAGAGTGGCGGCGCATGCTGACCTCAGAGGGACTGCGCTGCGTCTGGAAGAGCTTCCTCCTGGATGCCTACAAACAGGTGAGCGGCGGGGACACGGGCCTCCCTCTCCCTAGGTCTGCAGGGGCAGGGGCTCACATGCTGGGGGCACTGGCGGCCTTTGGGGGGCATTGGGGTGAGAGCTGCCTAGTGGCTATGCTCCAATGACCCCTGTACGTTTACTTTCCACACCTATTGCACAGGTGAGAATGGGAGGTGACAGATAATAATAAGCCGTAATGACTCTGGGTGACCTAATAAAGAAATCTCTCTAACCAGGGTGATTAATATCTTGCTGCGGTTTTGGAGCGGAGGGCATTTGTGCCAGTAGAATAACTTTGGGAAAAAGTCAGTAGATGTTGGGGGAGGGGAGACAGCTGTGTGTATTCTGCTCTTGTCTTAAGCTGGAATTTTGGTGTTTTGCTTGATGGGAGGCTATGTGTGAGGGGTGCTAGGAAAGACAGCTTAAGGGGCAGGCACTGAAAAGCGAGAAAAGAGAAAATGCTACTAAAGTTCTCAGAGGGTTGACAAGACTTAACAGAATGGTCATAGCAAGTGTCACTGGGCATCCTAGCCACTGGGTTTGGGGTGAGGGTAGGAGTTAATAAAAGTGAATGACTGTGTGCCACCTCTGTTACACTGATTCAGATTTGAACCCTTTGAAAGCAGTTTTCAGGCACTGAGATCTGACTTAGCAGTTTAAAAAAAAAGGATCTGAGAACTGGCCATCAGAAATCCAGACTTTGTAACAGACATCGCATTTACTTTGTGTCTCAAAAATAAAATAAGTTAAAAAAATAAAAATAAGTTGTCTTAGAAAGAGATGATGGGTCTGTGGTTCATTAAATCTCAAACATGTGCCCTGAGCATGACAGCAGTGGCCTCCCTTACCTGTAGATACTATGTATACTGTGTACCAAGGGCTGCTCACTCAAAACCAGAGTTGATGATTTTAGTTTCTAAGTGAAAAATGCTGTTGTCCTAGCCTTTTTGCCACTTGGAGATGTTGTAGAGCATTTTCAACTAAGATCTTAAGGGCAAAGAGGAATGTTTTGGTCCCAGTCCCTTGTCAATTTGCCCCTACCCCCTATGGCTGTATGACTCCTGAAGGTCCCCAGGCTTTAGAAGAATGAACTCATTTGGCAGAAGTTCCTATCAAAGCAGACAATCTTGGTTTTCCATAATAATATTGGAACACCTTGCCCAAGATGCCAGGAAAAGAAGTTTGAGAGGGATATGGAAGCCAGGTGTTCAGCGAAGGGGTGCACTTTAAACAGGCAGCACCTCAGAGCCAGAGATGAGAAACTCAGCATAATAGAAAGGAAAGGGAATTAATCCTCCATAAATAAACACTAGGAAAAGAAAGCTATGTACCAGGAAAAGAAAAGAGGTAACTTGTAGTCACAAAGAATCCAGGGCAGGGTTGTTCCACTGAAAATGAAATGTTTAAGAGGAAAATATCTATTGTGAACTAGGGAAGTTTTACTACAATACTTGTCTTTGTTATTGAGAGCAACCTGCAGAAAGTTTGCATTTATTGTCCTAAAGACACATGTGAATGGCAAGAACTCATATTAGTAAATGGAAATTCCTCTATGAGAATATGAATCGATGTTCAAAGTTCTAACAGTAGAAACTCATTTATAGTATGTATGTAGGGGTGAGTGGGAGATGAAGGCAAAGAGATATTAACATGATCATTTTATCTCCACAAGTGTATATATCGAATGTGAAATTTTTATGTTTTGTTTTGGGGGAAGAGAATTTAGAGAAGGATAGGGGAATACACAAGAATGTCAGGCATATTATTAATTAGGAAGTTCCCTCATCTATATCTATATTTTCTGTGTGTTAGCAGACACCATGCAAATGTCAGTGGTTCGATATCAATGTATTGAACTCTTACATTTTTGAGTACAAAGACTTTTGCCTATAAAAGAAAAAAATCCCTTCTTGGGAGAATTTTACTTTTATGCATAGCTACCTTATATAAATGCCATCTCTCATTTAAAAAAGATGAAAAAAATGTCATCTCTCACAAAAACAATGGAGGCTGTAATGTTACCCACAAATATTAAGTGAAGTTGCTTCTCGTGTTAAGCAGCTTATTGAAGATAAAATGAAAAAGCAAACAAATGCCTCTTTAATAAACTTTACTATTTATTTTTTCACTAATGTATAGTGTTCCATTGTGTTGCAATATTTTATTACTCATATTCCCAGAAATTGGGAAGGATGAGTGATTTGTTTTTTCTTTTTGCTTATGGTTGATGTATTCTTCTTCTGTGTGTCTTTGTCTCTGCCTACTGAGTTGATTAGTGACCAAGTTCATGACTGATATTATTATGTTTGCTTTTCATGATTTACATAATAGCAACCATGTGCAGAAGCAACCCCAGGACTCAGATATCCAGAGACAAGACTGGGCTGGGTGTGTAATGGATGGAAAATTGCAAAAACAGCTTGAACAGAATCATGATCTCTTTCTGTCTTCAAATATGGCAACCGTGGTGGTTTCTGTGGAGGCAGCTGAGGGTCACTCAGAACCTCTCGATCAGGTTGAATCACTTCTCTCAAGGCTGTTGTCATCTGCACCAAAGTGTTTGGGTGTGGCCATTTCTAGAGCCACTAAAGAATGTTCTCTTTGAGATGGCATCACAGTATTTCATAATCCTGACTTGCATTATTTTGAGGCTGTCACCTCCAGAAGCAGTTTTCCAGGCTGAGGGGTGCGTGCACATGTGACTCAACTAGACATGTGATTTGTTATTTTTAATTCTCCTTATTGTTGAATGTCAGATACTTGGGAAAATATTTAGAGAATGGGGAGTAAGAAGTATTATCTCTAGATTCTGCCCCCACAAGATGCAACACAGAAAGAAAGAAAACAAAATAAAATTTTAAAAAACACCCTTACTCATTAAAATGTTGAAGGGAATTCAAAATTAACTTTATGGAGAAGCTTTTAAAGATAAGACAGGTTTGGTAGGAGGAGAGTTCTGTGGGCAATTTTGATTGAAAAGAGAGCCTATGGGAACTGGTGGTGCAAGATTCTGAGATGATGAACAGATATTTGGTATTTCGATTTCTTTAGTCAGTGTCATTGCATCTGAACAGTGTATCCTTGTGCTGGTGCTCAAAGCCTAAAAATGCAACCAATAAGCAAACTGGCCTGTCTGGGAGCCTGGCTCTTACCTAAATGAAGTGTAAAAGTAAACACACAGTATAGATGCTGACAGGCAGTTTAGCTTCTGCATGGTTAATATTGCAGTGGCACAGAAAACATATTCATTTGAACATATAATTTTGGTTTTGAAAGGGTCTCTTTAACATTCTCCTCCTCCTCTTCATTCACCTCAAGCCTTTGACACTAGTTTCTACAATGGAAAATGGCTCTTTTAAGAGAGAAACAGTCCCAAAAGAAAACAAAGCAGGCCGTACCCAGAGCTTGTCCATCATTTGGATAAAACATTGGGAAATGATAGGGCTTAGAGCTACATTTTTAAGGTACAAATTAAAAAGAGAATAGCCAAAAGAGAATTGAGCTAAGAGGAAGGAGTAGGTAGCCTATTCTTCAACTCTGATTTATTTGGCCAGTTTGAATGTAAATGGTTAAATCTCTGCTTAATGATTGTTTGGCCACGTTTCTAAGGACATTGATGTAGCTTGGTCGTTATGTCAAAGAATTTGAAACTTCCTGATGGTTAATAAAGCCATTTTCAGGGCTTTGGATAGCAAGAGGTATGTGCAAAAATTCTTCTACCAAACACTCATTCTTCATTTTTATCATTTACTTTACTTTCTATCATGAAATTATATGATATTTTGCCCAGAAGCCTTTCTTAGGCTGTAGAAAAGAAAAAACAAAAAACAAGGTTAGTAGTATATGCTCTATTTCCAGCTTCTACTTGATGAATGGTCCTTTTTTCCCCCTTGCCCTGCATTTCACAGTCCACATGCTAAAGCAGCATTATCCTTTCCCCCATGCACCGAACATCATCAAGGGAATCAAATTCTTATATGTGCTCTATGGTTATATTCATGCTCATATTTATAAATGGTCTATGGCAACATTTGAACTTGGCCCAGAGATGTGCCTTGTTGTAAAAATGCAAATCCTTTATTTACTTCCTTTGTTGGTGTTGTGTTGATGCTGCTTGCAAAAACATAAGAAAGGACAACTGTAATAGTGCAGATGAGAGAGATAAAAGTCAGTGATGACAATATTACATTTTACCAATGTCCTTTCTGATCCTTGGAGAATAAAGGGACCCTTTGGGAACATCGGAACTTCAAGACCAATTAGTGGAAATGATGCTTCTTGTGTTTGGGCATTAAATACTGGGCAGGGTTCTCTTTAGAGCGGCTAATGCTGGCAGGGAAAGAGGTACCGACCTAATTACTCTTCCGCAAGAGTAAAAAATGCCTTTTGAATGCCTCTTTGGCAAATATGTCTCATTAAGGACAAAAACCAAACACAAACCCTCTAAGAAGGAGAAATTAAGATGATAGGTAACTTGTGGCCAGGAGACTTTCTGTGCCACTGTGGGAAATTAAAACAAGGTTTGGAAGTACCAGGGGATAACTTGTTTTTGTTGAGCTTCTTTCCTGTAGCCTAAATGTTATTATGGGACCAACTTTATTTTTTTCATCATCTTGGCTGCGTGTCAAGGAATGCTTTGCTCCTGGGGAGAGTCAAGAATCTTCCATCATTGAAGACAATAGTGATTCTGCCATTCTATCTCAGTGGGGTACATAACCCAGCAAACCAAGAAAGTCTCTATTTAAAACACTGGTCTATTAAAAATTTAATTTTTATGATGACCAAATGGGGAGATGAGAATAAACAGTAATATCTTTTTTTAAAGATTTTTTTTTTTAGTTTAAAGAAACTTACATTGCTAAATAAAAGGTGGTTTTTTAAATTTATTTTAGCTAAATTATCCTCCATCAAGTTTTAGCAAAGATGGACAAATTTTATGGTTAGTGTGAAGCTCATAAAAGCAGAATACTGGTCTACTCACATTTGGACTTATGGGTGGTGGGTGTGTGTTTTTCCTTCTAAGTTTTAATAGCATTGATCTTATCTATGCATTTTCTCTTACCTGGCCACCTTGTGAATAAGGATATCCATTTATGACATTCTAGTCTGCAGTAGGGTCCCATGGCTGCTCAACAAAATAAAAAGAATTGGCCACATTGCAATGACCAACTGAGACAATCAAGGAAGACCAACAACAGTGAGTGTTGGTTACGGTGTCCAGGAGGGCTGCAGGATTCATATTTCTAAATGTGTCTGCCTCAGCGAGCTCCTCCATCACCCAGATATGGTTATATTCATTGCAGGTTAAGGTTATTATTAAGTGTAAAAAATCCTTCACTGACCTAGGATTATAAGAACTAGCATTCATTCAATAATTCATTCAACAAAATAAAGAAAATACTTCCCAGCCTAATAAAATGCTAACCCCACCTTCCCCAGCACACAAAGAGCATTATATGTTTGGTAATTTTTCTAATATTTAGTTTCAGAGTTACAAGGTTGTAATTATTGTGAATCTCCTAAGGATAACTAGTCAGTGTTTTAAAAAGAATTCTGTGGCTGAACTATACATCGTCTCTAAGAAGAAGAAGGTGCTTTAACTTTCCAAGAAAATTAACTGCAGGTAATGAGATTCACCTGTGTCTTAAGCATCAGATTAGATTACTCAGTTGACTAATCAGGAATAATGCAAGGATCAACACAATTGTTCATAGGTCTCAGGAATGATTCCAAAATCCAGACATATGTTTTTACCTACCAAGAAACTACAAGCCAGAGATTTTTTTTATAGTTCAGAGATTTTTTTTCCCTCCTGTATACAGGTTGTTTACGTAACAAGAAGTCACTGCAACAAACTCATCTGAATGTATTTAGGTCTCCTCATCACAGTATGTTGACAACACAGTATACAAAATTTTGTTAAAAGTAGCCCTAGAATCATTACTATTACATTTTAAGTGAGAAAGATGTGTTGAGAAGGTGATGGGAATACTACCCACCACCTAGATCTATGAAGAAGTATAAAAAGAACCCATAGATTAAAAGGCTTATGATACCTTTAAAATATACATCTTTAAATCTGAAGTATATTTTAGTATACCTCGAAGACTAGTGTAGTTCATATGAAAGAATCCTGTTAAAAGTGGCTTATTAAATTTCTCCATCTACTTACACTTGCATATTAACCAAGAAAATTAATGTAAGTAAAATAACTTTCGCCCTGGTGGTGACTGAAAATAAATGTGCTTACTTAAATCACACCAACAGCTTCCTTTTCTAAGAAGGAAGACTATTACCAAAAGATTTCCTTTAGAAAACGAATAGTACGTGTTTCAAACCTATCCTGATAGGGTTTTTGAGAAGGGAGAGAAAGAACTTTAACTCTTGTTCTACAGTTAAAATGAGTTATGCATTAACATTACATAGAAGCTTCTGAATAAAAGCCCTTGAGTGTTTTATATCAGTTTGGGTTGTTACATCTTTAACAATTCACTTCTAAGTGACTTCAATTAACAGCAGTGTTATATGTGGCTATATTTATATGAGGGAAGTAAGTTGATCCAGTTGCAAGTGTTTTGTAATATTAAGATAGGGAATAAAAATCAATTGTACTGTCGTAAGTTGTCCCTAATGTTATTGGCTTTGATTAAACCATTCTAGGGGAAGATCCAATTGTATTAATTCAAACTGAAGTAATTGGCTCTTCTATTGTTGTCTGCTTTTTATTGTCAATTTACAGACCCAAAGGCTGCAAACTTTCCTTCATTCTGTGTTCAGTTGTTTAAACCATGTGCAAAGGGGGTACACGGAACAATTTTTTGTCTATATCTCTTCTGCCTGCCTATTTTATAATTCTGAGGAGCTTAGTTAATAACTTGTGTGGTAGAAAAGTTCTTTTTGTGTGTGTGTGTGACTTCCTAGATAAAAAGAGGAAAACAAATGAACAAAAACACATGGAAAATGACAAATTAACTAAATGTAGAATTCCAGAATAACTGTATTTTTTTAATCTTTTTTTTAATGGAAATTGTGAGATTCTATTCATAAGAACCACAGTGTAAACAGTATCAGTAGAAACCTCTAGGGAGGATGCCATGCTAAGGAGAGTTCAAATCTTTGCTTGGGACTATATGTGTATGTTATATAATATATCATATATATATATATATACACACACACACACACACATATATATACACGGAATTGCCTAGGTAAGATGGTATTTTTTGTGGCATGGTGGGGGTGCATCTTATAATGGCAATGCATACCTATACAGAGATTTATAGTATACAAAGAGCTCTTTTCCTTGTGTTATTCTCCAATAGCCATGTGAGAAAGACAGGCATCATTATCTGCAGTTTACATTTGTGAAAGCTGAAGCACTAAAGAGGTTAAGCAGAAATAACCCTTCTTATAAATGGTGGACACCAGGTTTTCCATCTCTGGCCAAGAATAGAGCCCACTGGTATCACTGACCATTGGTGGAGAATAAATGATTTAGCACCATGCAAGAAAATAAAGGTCCTGCCTGAGTATTTTAGAATTCAGAAAGAGGCACTGTGTCCCAAGACCCTGATAATTTGTCTTGAAGTAGACCATTCACTTCTAACTTTCAAAATGAAGTCAATTAATCATCTGTTATATAATGCATGCTAAGCACCGACAGCAAAATAAGGATAGTAAAGAATACCAGCCTCAGCTTAATTATGAAGAGTTAACTGCAGTGCCTTCCATGATGAAAATAATTACCTTCAGTGAATAACCAGAATGAAAAGAGACTTTCATTCTCTTTGGGGCCATTCTTTACCTGCCATGAAGCCTCTTTAGTCAAATCAATAAATGTTTACCACATGCTCTGAAGGAAATACCACATTCTATTAGAGCCAATTTTATCTATTTAAAGTGAATCGAGGCGGCAATGTGTTTAATGTGGCATTCTCTCTCCCTCTTTTTTTTTTATTTTTTTTTATTTTTTAAACCATCAGGTGAAATTGGGCGAGGATGCCCCCAATTCCAGTGTGGTGCATGTCTCCAATCCCGAAGGAGGTGACAACAGCGGTGCCCCGGAGAAGACAGCGGACGGAGCTGAATGCCACCTCCTTGACTTTGCCAGCGCTGAGCGCCCACTGGTGGTCAACTTCGGCTCGGCCACCTGACCTCCTTTCACTAGCCAGCTGCCAGCCTTCCGCAAGCTGGTGGAGGAGTTCTCAGCAGTGGCTGACTTCCTGTTGGTCTACATCGACGAGGCTCATCCTTCAGATGGCTGGGCGGTGCCTGGGGACTCCTCTTTGGCCTTTGAGGTGAAGAGGCACCGCAGCCAGGAAGACCGATGCGCAGCGGCCCACCAGCTGCTGGAGCGGTTCTCCTTGCCGCCCCAGTGCCGGGTTGTGGCTGACCGCATGGACAATAATGCCAATGTAGCTTACGGGGTAGCCTTTGAACGGGTGTGCATTGTGCAGAGACAGAAAATTGCTTATCTGGGAGGAAAGGGCCCCTTCTTCTACAACCTTCAAGAAGTCCGGCATTGGCTGGAGAAGAATTTCAGCAAGAGATGAAATCTAGATTAGCTGGTTGAAGGTATGATTGTAATAGAGCTTATTGTGTTGTGTTTTGTTTTTTTTAATGATGTAAAGAAAAGGAAATTAAGGACTGAATTCATATTTCGACTGAGTCCCATTGCCTTACTGAAAGACAGGAATTTGCCTGTCAGAAGAACATAAACCCCTAACCTGACATCTCAGTACTTCTTTCACCACTCAAATGACATGGGGCTAAATAGTAGCCCTGTCACTTCTCTTCTTAGTGAAAAGCCCTAGTGGAAAGATCCTAAGATGGAGAGGAAGAAACCCTGACTCAGCATGTGTTCATTCTGCTTTGAGAAAGAAGTTGAACAGCCGATGCATGCTTTGGGACCAGAAGAAAAGACTTTACCTGAGTAATTACGATGTTAGGGAAGCTACTGTCTATGTTAAGATAAAGGGTATTGCCTTGGCTTTATTCAGCATGGATAGAGCCCAGCTGGAAAATTCGCAAATATTTACTTATAATGAGTCCTTGAATCCGGGCCCTGTGGTTAAAACCTTGGTGTTTAGTATGTTCTAGTTTCTAGCAATGCAGTGCTCTGTGTCAGTCCACATAGCCCAAAATTCACAGGTGTATTTGTAGATACCATGAATGATCCTTTAACCTGGAGAGTTACAGTAACCATCTGACATCTGAGGGTTATTTTCAAGGCAGGTGGAGAAAGCACTGGGAAAAAAAAATCAAATTAACAAGCTAGGAAAGAGGAGGCTGAAAGATTAGGAAAAATAATAGAATTTCGCCTTGAAGCCACAGAGAGTGGGATGAATTTGGTAGCCACAGAGGCATAGAAACATATACAGTCCAGAAAAAGAGAAAGCCCAGCTAAAAGTAGCATAGAAAATGCACATATAAAAACAATGTATTCATTATACACTCCTAGATTGAAGGGGAAATGGGGGATTGAAAGAAAAAACACTTAAATATTAATGTGTATTGGTGGAAATAATTGCTTTTTGAAACATGTATGTAGTGTGTATATTTTCAGTGGGTTAATCATACCCCATGATGACTATTAAAGGAAAAACCAGTGGGTCCGGTGGTGCTGGTCTGTTCCTCCCATTCCTAAATTATTATGTGACCCTGGTCATTCCTAATCTCAGTCTTTACAGCAGTATTTTCTCTGAATGCTGAGCTAAGGAGTAAAGATATATATATATATATATTCTCAGTTGCTGTGGGAGGCAGGTGCCCTAACCATTCAGCTACAGCCTTATTTTCCTCCCAAAGTAGGTGAACTATCATGAATGATAGGTGCAAACAAACAAGTTTTTTTCAGTTGAAAAATAGAAGAAGAGAAAATTAGTTTGAGATAATTCCCATCAATGATTTTGGAGGCTTTGATATAAAGAACCCCAGTGTCATGGAATTTTTATTGACATTTTAATTTGGATTTGGGTCATCTTTTTGTCCAATTAGCTGAGGTTTAATAATCTAAGGTCCTAATAGTACATTACTATAATATCATTTTAATATATATACCATGATTCTTTTAAAAATAGATAGGATAGTTTTATCCATAAGTAATATATAAAGATCATAGCCCCCCAAAGAGTAGACCAGTTGATTTTGTATCATAATTTTTTTTGTAAATTTGAGGATACTATCAAATCACAGTATATTTAAAAGTTATGTTTTATGGTTATATTTAAAAGTACAAAGATTATGTCCATTCCATTAATAACTGAAACATAAAACTAATAGAAAAAGTTAGTCTAAAGTTGAAAATAGCTTCTTAAACTAGTTGCTTGAAAGGAGAAAAATTGGGAATTGTGTGGGCAAGAACCTAAGTAGATTTTTTTTAAAAAATGGGAGCAACATATCAGTCATACCAGTTGCTGAGTTGGTATTTTATATTGATATTAAAGCTCCATTGTGACTGACTTTATTAATGGTAACATCTAAGCTTCCCAGTATTTTAAATTCTATTTAAAAATACCCTCAAAGAAAGTAAATTTTGAAAATGTAATGTTATCTAATGAATTATTGGCAAATCATATTGAGAATAAATTATGTCGGACTCCTCAATTGTTAAACACTACAGTCAAGGCTTATCAGTGGCTGCCATTGATTTTTATCTTCAAAACAGTGTTGAGATTTACATGGAACCCTAGAGCAGTAAAATAAAAAAAATCGATTGCAGCACACTCACACTTTTATCCTTAAACCTCCCCTTTGTTCTACATGTATGATAATGGAACAGGATGTCAGAGAAGCTGGTGGGGGGATGAGATTTGGCCAAGGCAGTGCTAGTCGTCTAGGGAAAAGGATGATGGAAAAATCACCCAGTTGTGCTACATTTTTAAAGAAAGAGAAGGTTGTGTATGTGTGTGTGCAGACAATTCTTCTCCCTGAGGATAGTCCAGTGGAGAAATGAAGGAGAGGTAGGCTGACTAACAGGGAGAAAGATATGTTAAATAGAACATGCAAGAGTTTCTGGAAGAAAGACTATGGAAAGGCCAACGAAGAAAGAGAAAGTACAAAACCCAGGAATCCTACAATATGTAGAATGTCTTGGTGTTATCAGGGTTATGATAAGCCTATAATTGTGTAACCTATTTATCTCAACATAAGCTTTTATGATTTCTTGTGATTTATCTTTTATCAGATTAACAATAACTCATAATTTGAGATAGAAGAAAATCAACACTTAGCTGATGTGCTCAAAGAAATTATTAGATTGTCAATACCCACTCACCTATCATGTCTTTTATAAAATATGTTCCTTTGAATAATTATTATTCTTATTCTCACAAGGGAAATTATATATATATATATAATTGAGATGGTATATTATATTCTATATATGATATATATAGAATCTCAATCTCAATCATGTATAAAACTCTAAGTTCTTATTCTTAGTCCCTAAACATGCTCCTTCCATAGGGTGTGTTTACATGGAGCTATCAGTTTAGCCTTTTAAGCCAAATTATTAAAATAGTTTCCAAGAAATTTTAGATATTATCATAGCATCTGAATATTTTCAAACATTTATTGTTTGAAAGACTATGTCTTGGAACTATTCAAAACTTACTTTATTGCTTAGGGAAAATATTAGTGGTATCAATGATGACTTTCTTGAATGAGCCTGAATGAAATGCCTGCACAGTAATGTAGAAATGTTTCATACAGCAATTAAAATGTAACTGACCTCTTTAGAGGCAGACTAATAACTGTTACTGCTTTGTATAGCTATGTGACAGCCTTTTAACTTACATGATTTTCTATATGCATATTTTGGATTTCTGGTTCTGTGTCCTCACCGTATTTATAGATATGTCCCTGATTTTTGGTAATATCAACTTTGAAGTGGTCTATTTAGTTAAATTCTTCCCCTACTAATCAGGAGGAAATGCTTATTCTCTCATATAGGAGGGAAGAAAAGCCTATTGTTTTTCATTTTGCATGAGTGTATTTTACTATTTGGGCTCTTGAATAAAAATTTTGAAATATGGTGAGGTCACACATGGGTGCTCACTTGTTGCATAAAATACCAGAGAGCAGGTTAAAGACAATATCTACACCTTTGGGAAAATTCCCAGGTAGATTACAAGGTGCCTTCGGCATGCCCTATGTGCTATGTCCATAGCAAGAAGAATTTATCGATTTACAGGACTTCCTATTGTGTAAATCATAAGGGGATGAACCTGGACGTAAGTTCCACCCGACCTCTGACTGAATGGTTGGAAAATAAGCTTAATTAGAATCACGTGACCATTGCAAAGGGAAAAATGTAGACACTGACTTCTGTCTCACTGAAGGATTAACGAAAACCTTTACCAGCATTCAGAACTTTTCAGAACGTGCCCAATGTCGTGTCTCTTAGCAATGGAGATTGACACTGAGGCTTTTAATTTCAGGAGCTTTTTCTTAATAAAAAGATATTGCCAAAAATCAGAGTTAAAGTATATTTAGATTCCAACTTCCTTCTTTACCTTAAAAATAGAAGCCAAACTCACTTTTCATAAATAGGTCCAGAATGGGGCGTAAGCCCGATCTCTGCTTGGTGATTGGCACTATCTTGGAGGTTTAACAAGGCTCTCTATGAAAGGAGGGTACTGAGGCTGGGAGTACTAGGAAGTTGCAAACCGGGAAGAACTAGGCCCTAAGGGCTCGGTCCACTGATTTGGAAAGACTTGAGAAAAAACTGTCTCTGAGTGTCATTGAGCAACTTTAGGATGAGCAAAACATTGGGCCACTTCCTAATGCCCTATGCTCCGTAGAGCACCAGAAGCCAGCTCTCCTACTTAACAGACCCAGCTCTGTTCCAAGGTGAGTCTGAACCAATAGAAAGCAAACAAGTGCAGATATCCAAACAAGACCGCTCATGCAAGTCGGGGCTTGCTGCCCGTCTTAGGCAGCAGCACCAGAGCTCCAGGGAGTTTATTCAATATTTACTGAGACTTCGAAGATCCAGCAGATGTTTAATGAAGTCACTATTTTGGCTCAAACCCCTCATTTCTCCCGCCCCTCAAAAAGCAAACAGGTAAACACGTAAGTGAAAGAAGCCCACAGAAGGGGATGAGGAATAAATAAAATTCTCCCAAGACTTCTCCAGGTCATGTCACTGGTCAGTGTGGTTTTTATGTGTGTTAGGATTGGGGGATGTGAAGAAATAAGTATCCAGTACTTTATAACCAAAGCAATTAAAAGATATCGGGTAGGGAATGTTGGCCAGTTTCATTTAGTTTTGCATCACATTATTGCCGGACTCACTAGCCCCAGTAATCGGGCACCCGAAGAGGGATACTGGGATGTGCAGGGTTTATCAGTGTGCGAATGATAACCACTGACGAAAGAGTCATCGACTCAGTTAGTGGTTGGATGTAGTCACATTGGTTTGCCTCTCCCATCCTTGTCTTCCTAGCAAGGAGAATATTCGGGACATGACGCTAAGAGTACTGGATAAATGTGGTGAGAATGCATGTGTGTATATCTCTGCTTCTCAGTTGCAGAAAAAGAAAAGCTTTGGAGATTTATCAGTAGAAAGAGTGTTATTATATTGGTGCTGAGTGGTATGTGTGCTTTTACAATTTGTTCTTGTATTTTAATAAACTTTGAATAAAAGAATAAAGCTACTCTTTGGTTCTATTTGTTTATTTTTAAATGTCTCTCTAGACCTTGCCCCAGGCTGGAACACGTTCATGGTTGACAAGGGAAAGAGAATCCATCATTCTAATATTTATTCCTTGGTATTTGTGGGCAGAGTAGCCAGCAATGCCAGATTATTTTAATCTCATGCTGTGTGCCAGAGTCTTCAAGGAAATCAAGACAAGTTAAAAGAAAATATTCAGATACTTTCCATATTTATGAACAAGTTACACACAGAATTCATGGAAAGGGGCCTGTTTAAAAGACTGTGGAGCAAACTTTATACTTTGTTAGATTTGCATCTCAGGTTTTCTAAGTGCAATTAATAAACTTTGCAGGAGGTTGGTTAAAACAATACACTCACATACACGCACATGAAATATAGACACATATATTATTTTTTATATTATTGGCAAGGTATTAATGTCTAATGAAAAAAATCAACATTTGAACACATTTATTTCAAGCACTTTCCCCTAAGAGAAGGTATAAAGGATTCGAACGTTATGTGGAGGCAGTGGCCTATTAACGACAAGGCATATGTTTGCAACATGGTTAATTATGTGCATTTTGTTCCTGAAAACAGGCA